ATATGCTTTCTTATTTTATATGTCCCTTCAGGCTGTTCAACTGTTGTAAATCAGTACGATATGAAAATTATGTTTAGTTAAATTTTTTTTATGTCATACGGAAGTACAACCATTATATCAACCCGAGAGGACATGTCAAAGACTAAAACGATTTATTTTGATTATTTAGTAATATGAAAGGTATTTTTTTTAAATGAGGAAAAAAAATTGTATTGCAAGTTGAATTTAATAATTTAATGTTCATCATACGCCCTGTCACACCTATTAAAAAATGTTCTACAATTGCAATCCTTCAGGACATACACAAATTATTCGAATAGAAAACATATCGTTGTGCAGCCTTGTAATACACCGTTAAAAAGCCGCTATACTTTTCGATTAATTAATTTTTTCGATGTCCTTAGGAGAAATCCTGTCGTCCTATTAAAAATTTAAAGACATTTCGAATTTATTGCATTTCCAAAGTTTTCATGGACGATTTGGCAGCCTTAATTCAAGTTATTCACCCCTATGCTGTAATCCGTCGTAGATTCGATTTTGCTACGAATCCTAAAATTGGTATGCTGTAATCCGCTTTGTCGTATCGTAATTTCGAAATTCGTAGACCGTCTTCGAAATTTGCAATGTTGGTATGCCTGAATCCGACGTAGCACTCATTTTTATGTATTTGTCGCAAATTTAGTACGAATAGCAACTCGTGTCGGAGCGAAACAAATTGTTTTAAAATATCAATAAAATAAAGAGTGTAAACGCAAAAGTATGTATGTAAGTTGAAGTATGAATAGAAAAAAAAAATGTATTATTAAATGTTTACAAAATTATCAGATCGAAGATCACAACAAATCGCTCGCAATACGAAAAACTGGTGGAATGCATGAGCCAAAGGCCGGACATTGGTCGAGGCTTTGTAAAAGGAGCTAAGAGGATGTGCTGGAATTTTGGGAAAGCGTTCCAAGAATTAAAGCAGGTCAATATCTAGTGAAATGGAGGCCCTTAAAAGGAGGGAGCTTACATTTTATCATTTAAGCCAACAGAACAATCTCCTATCAATCTCCTTTGTATATTGATGCAACTGTTAGGTGTTCTTCCTCCTGGGACAAAAGTGCACCGGCCACTGAATCCTTTGTATTCTACTTAATTACGGAAAAGTCTTAAAATAATGATTAAACAATTTTTTTTTTTAATTTCACTATTCACTTGCGATTATATTTATTTTGATTTGTTTCTGTCAAAGCAGCTGATTAAGAACTTCGAATTTCACGTTTTTAGCTGGCAGCGCCGCTGATAGTTACGATCGAATTACAGCATATCAATTTGGAATTTTCGGAACGGAGCTACGAATTCGTAGCTACGAACATTCGGATTACAGCATAGGGGTAATTAACTAAAACTTCAACTAAAAGTCGGCACGGGCACGATAGCCTACGGCCATAAAACTTCATATATATGCTATTTAGGCTAAAAAGCACAAATATAGAGGGTATGCATATCAAAATTTGCAAACAAGTTTTTTTCCATATATTCTCTAATAAACATGTTGTCTTACTGCTCAATGTTCCCTGTATTGTTGTTTGTATGTTTTTTGTTTACAATTACGGTATTTTTAATTGTTTACTTATGTTTATATTCATTTGCCTAAAATTTCACTTGCTTAACTTTTATTTCTGTACGCCTAATTAGTCCACCAGGCACAATCAAGAGTGTAAGTTGTGTTTAATGTGTATGTTTGTAATAATTTAAAGTTAATAATAAGTTATCGTGTTTGTATATTTACAGTCCTGAAGATGATCTCAGATTGAGGTCGACATATCGACAATTAAAATATCAATAGAACGAAGTTTTGCGTTTTATTTAATTGCTGGGCCTCGAGCTCGTTAAAAATTATTCATAATTTAAAATTCGAAGGCCACCAACAAAAGCAAAATATGTTAAAGAACTACAATATAATGGTTTGGATGCCGCAATACCAATATGTATACAGGGTGTCCCAGGAGTAACGTGCCAAACTTTAGGGGAAGGTAGGTGGGGGGGTAAGCTCACTGATAAACAAAAAAATTTCAGGTAAAAGTGTCACCGTTTTTGAAATATTTACATTTTTTCGAATTTAAAAAAAAATCGTGCCTTTTCACGTGTTTTCTTTAACTGCAACTACAAACCGGGTGTAGTGATACACATTACTTGTTAAACACTTGTTCTTAAAATACTTTGAATTATGAAAATATCTTGTTACATTTATTTATGTACGATCAATTTTGAGTTGACAATTTTTATATTCATTCATTCGTTTTTTTTGATCTCTTAAAATAAATACATAGAAGTTTATTGAAAATAAAATTAAATATTTCTATTTTAATATACCATAAAATTTGGCGATCCTGCCAGGAGTCCTGCATATGAAATTACGCCGCTGTGTTCAGTGATACCAAGAATACAACCAATTAGTGGTCGTTGCGGACTTCGCCATCCCAGCTCACAAGCACAAATCAGTTGTGCTCTAGTGCGTTCCACGAAATCACTGGAGAAGCTTCACTCTACACACGCGTTGGTACACCATTTTTGAGCGTGTGCCATATTCTCAAAGGGAGCCACACTTGAGCGGCGTCTACAACAGTTCCTATCCACATTACATACTCTAGCCGCAGCAGCAGGGTGGTCAACGGGGCGAGCACGGTAAGGAGCAACATTTATTGCCACTACCACCACTCAAACCAGAACCAGCGCAGTAACTGCACTTGACTTCGCTGCTCAAAATAATTGCATAAACCGCAACTGCTACAGAAAGAGGAATATTCCAGCAGGTTATTTAGCAGCAACAGCAATCGCAACAAACACTACAGTTGGAACATTATCAGCAGCAGCAGCAGCAGCAACAACAACAACAAATTCATTCACAGCAGTAGCAACAACAACAACGGCGAGACATTCAGCATTCAAACCGTCATCAAGCAAAACATCTAAATAGATAAGTTTATGTTAACGTTAGTTGTTGTTGTGTTAAATTTTACACTCAGACAATTTTATTTTATTTTTAAATACAAAAAACAGTTAATTTTTGTAAACCTTCTTCCAATATGTTGCGTTCTCCTCAAGACAAAGGTGATGGGAATAGACTTGGTAGGTCTTTGATTGACATTGAAGATCCTCGTGAGGTGTCACAAGATAATATACGTAATCCGTATGACAGGTCTGAAATTTGTGCTACTTCGGTAAAATTACCACAATTTTGGTCTAACTGTCCTGAAGCATGGTTCGTGCATGCCGAGATGCAATTTGCTACAAAGGGAATTAGTAGGGATTCGACCAAGTACGAGTTCGTTATAACTGCCTTGCCTCAAGAAGTTATTGCGAATGTACTTGATGTTATACAAAATCCACCTCAGACTGAGACTTATGAAAATATAAAAAAAGTTCTCATTGACCGACATTCTTTAAGCGAGCAGAGAAGACTTGATAAAATTTTGTCAGATACTGAGATAGGGGATCGCAGACCTTCCGAGTATTATAGGACCCTTGGTCAGTTAGCGGGTAGCACTATAGACCCGATTTTCTTAAAAAATATTTGGTTGCGGAAACTACCTAAAAGTTTGTATGTTGCATTAACCAGCGCTAATTTAAATAATATTAATGATCTCTTGCAACTCGCAGATAAAATTTGGGAAATTACCAGTGGTAGTGAAATTTGTGCTGTTAAAAGTAAAGTACTTACTTCTTCAAATAATTTTGATGACTTAGGGAAAATTGTGGAAGATTTAGCGAAGGTTACGACGAAAATGTGTGAAAGTTTTAATCGTTTGCAGTTGGACATTAATGAGATTAAAACGCAAATATATGATAGACCATCACGATCAAGAAGGAGGTATTTTAGTAATAATAAAAATTCCCAGTCACGTAGTAAGTCTCAATCTAAAAATTGGGTCTGTCGGTACCATTTCCGTTTTGGTAGTAAAGCACGTAAGTGTGAAGAACCGTGTGCCTTTAAAAGAAATAATTCTGACTCGACAAACTAGGACATGCTGTAGTTGCAGCGACTAACAATGGCAATTTGAAATTTTCAACACGTCGCTTATTTGTATTAGACAAAGAAAGTAAGCTTAAATTTTTAATAGACAGTGGTGCCGAAATTTCAGTTCTTCCTTCCAAATTCAAAATTCACAAACGATCTTCCGACATTATTTTAACTGCTGCAAATGGCAGTATGATTTCGACCTATGGAAAGAAATTATTAAATGTTAATTTGGGACTTCGTCGGGAATTTCCGTTTGTATTTCTTATTGCTGACATTTCTAAACCCATTATAGGGGCAGATTTTTTAGGGAAGTATGGACTCTTAATAGATATAAAAAATAAGAGGTTAATAGATCCCTTAACTAACTTGTCTGTCGACGCAATATCTGCGTTTTGTAATATCTCTTTGCCAAAAATATTTTCGGTTGAAAACCAATATACAAAGCTTAAAAAGAATTTTCCTTCATTAATTTCTGAACCAGATTATAACAAAAAAGTTGAGCATTCGACAGTTCATCATATCATAACAAATGGAGTATTACCATTCTATAGCCCGAGACGCTTAGATCCAATCAAATACAAAATAGCAAAGACTGAATTCGATTTTTTACTGAAATCCGGGATATGTCGTCCATCTAAATCCCACGGAGCATCGCC